TATTTTCAGAATATGCTGTAACTTGGCTAGATGGTGGTAGTAGAGCATGTTTTCATGTGTGTCTCAATTATTCTAACAATTATCTATACCTACACTCATGTCTTAGATCTATGTAAGGCTGCCGGACCAGCCGTTCTCTTAGTTTCATTCTCCGACGTGCAAAATACACGAAATACACCTCCTCGAGGTGTGTCTGCTGTTTCTAAGGCACGCACGGAGATCCTACTCAAAATGGAAGTAGACCCTAGATCTACCCTCCCTAACATTCCTTCTGCCGAGGTAAATATTCGTCAGATACAAGAATTGAGCAGGGCTATTGTGTGATTCTCTACAAGTCGCAAGGTTTTATCCCCTTTCCCCATTTGTCGTATAATAACCAAGCCAAAGGTATATATTTCTCCCTTCAACTCGTCGCTAGTTAATTCACCCATCTAATAGGTAAATTTCTCGTGAATCCGCAACGACGTTATTTGAAATCCCCAACCTCTAAGTCAAGGATCCCGAGGTAATAAACACGACAGTCGAATCTCTATACTACGTATTACAGCGCCCATTCTCCGCTAACTTAAGCGTAACGTTCTGCGCCCCCACCTATATGTATTTCGTGGAAGATCCATCTACACAGTTCACTTCGGCTTAATCACCAGTCCGAGATTGCGACGCAAAAAATGCATTGTGTCGGGTTAATTGATGCCCGAGGTTGTCCGATCGACGGTACTAGTGCCACGGCGCGGCGCACATTGCCCAGCGGAGGTGTTCTTAAGAAAGCGCGTCCTGTGTATACCCTGCGGTAGAATCGTCACAGTCATTGCCAAGATGGCACCTACTTCAATCGATGCAGGAAATCCTAAAAGATGCCGACTACTTCAATCAGGTATAGACATGATGGTTAACATTGTACTGTCTTCGTTCCTAATTTCGGTGAACAAACGCATAAATGAATTTAGAAGATAAATCAGATTGCAGGGTTAACGATTCAGACTCCCTTTGATCCCATACTAAGATACCAAGACATACGCCTGAGAGCTGCAACACTAAGACGGAACTTCATAGTTGCGAGGGCTTTATACAGTACGGCAGCAGGAACTTGAGGCAAATTCGAGTCAGATCAGAAAGACCCCCCGAGTATAACAACGATCTTCTTTCCTTTTTCTCTCCATGCCCTGTTGATCCCCATCACGGATCAACAACAGTCCACAACAGGGTATCAAAGAGATCATCAAATCTTAAACCCTCTCTTGTACACTGCTGTGCTGCAATATGACCATCATCGATACTAGGATTGCTATTTGTCCCGTTGCATACATTAAGGCTTGACATTCTCGATCTCTGATTGCCGTAGAGGGAACTAAAAGTACAATACAGTGCCTCTGGGAATGGAGAAGGCCGACAGGAGGAAAGACAAAAAAACTTGAAATAAAATGACCGTCGCAGAACAAGGAAAATAGACATTGTTTAAAGGGATGACGTGAAGTAGCGCTGAGAACGGTCGAAGAAGGGAGAGGCGAGAAAATAACGTATATGCTTGAATGATAGGGGAATCGATACAGAAATGCAAAAGCGCATGTGGTGGGGTTATACATGGCTATTTCTAAAAGTGATCTAAATAGGTAAACGATACAATGATGAGGTTGCTTCGAGATGGAAAGACACGGGCATTATTCAATATACAAGGTAAAACGAAGTCGGACATGACGAGAACTCGAAGGCCGCAACACATATTACGTTACGAGAAGAGAAGAGGAAAGAAGGGAATTCCTAAAGCGAAACATTTATCCACTTGCCATGACCTGACTCAATGTAGACGTTAGTCTCCTAGCTTCAATATCTGAAATGGATAAGTATGCAATAAGCTATTTTAATCGTGCCGAAAGGTTTCGAGGACTCACTGCCGATAGGGAAGAACCTGCCGAGGTATTTTAAGCTCGTCTCTAAACTACGTAGTTCTGACAATAGATTAGCGCTCTCCGGATGTTGAGAGCTAACCGAGAAGCGCCCAAGCTCCAAAAGGAGGACTTCACTAGCAAGGGACCAGCATGGCTGCAAATTCAAGTGGTTAGTTCTCGTGCGACTTTACATGAGGGCAACAAAGACGAGCTCGCCGCGTACTGCGATGATGGGTTCCAAAAACACATAGTCATCTAGTACAAGGGACCTTGCAATCCGCACAGTCGCCCGTGCTGACGATAAGCATAGATCAACAGCCGCACGCATCTTTCCAACGGATTCTCCCGGTGAACACCCCCTGTGACCTGGTTGGTCACTGCCAGCCCATTGCAATAGCATACGGTCATACCCGAGCAACCCGTCACGAATCATCTGCATCGAGCTGCCTTTCGGCAAGAGTGAATGAGGGCTGAATGTAGTATATGCTTTCTCCGCAAGTCTGAAGTGCAGACGGATCATGGCGGCATGTGTGAGAGTATGCGACGTGTACGGCGAGCATTTTGCAAAGGAAGCCGGACGGAAATCGTGTGCAGGAAGCGGCGTAAGTGCCCTGAGGAATGTGGATATGGTGTGCTGAAGGAAGGTTACGCTGCTGTCCTGTTGTGGTTTTGGATTGTCTGAAGGACCGTTTATAGATCAGGCGTCAGACGAGGATAGCTTTGACAGGATACATACTGGAATCACTAAGAGATGAGATACGTGAAGCAGCCTCAAATAAGGTGGCACTCTTTGCTCGAAGCTCAAGGATTGACCGTGGTGGCCGGACATCTATTCCCGTCAAGAACTCTTCTACAGGGTAACCGGGCGGGGCCAGTTCAGCCGCATGCGTACTCCATTCAGATTCACCAACCTAGGAAACAGGCGTATTAGCTAGTTCATTGTTTAAGTAGACAAAACTAATGCATAAGCGTACAATGAATAAACCCCAGTCTTCTGGCCAAGGAGTGGTTATCGCTGTTCTCGGATCGGTCTCCTTCAGTGCATTGTTATTTCTTGGAATATCCTGAGAACCGACACTCCATCGAGAGCTCGGTGTCGGTAACCGACCAGCGGCGCTCCACGCACGGTCGAGAACAAACGCGTTCCAAAGAGTGTGCTGTCTCTCAAACGCATGGTACTGGCAACTTGGCGGAGGCAACAGCTCAGCACTGGGACTGGCCTGATTCGTTTGTGAGTTCGAAGACGTATCTCTCGGTTGAGACGCTAAAGAGACGTTCTCTACATTTGATTGAGTCTCAATACCATCAATACTTCTTTCCTGCCAAGTCCGTGGATCTGGAGTGCGATGCAGTCCTGCGCATATTGCAAGTTGGCTTGCCATGTTAGCGTGATACGAGCCCTCAAGTGCACGGCCTTCCGCGAAAAAGTATGTTGCGAGCATTGTACTTGCGGCAGTTGCTACCATCACATTATAACCGGACATACCCACGGTTTCAGAGTTAATATTCAGGCCGGCGCTTGTCGCCGCAAGTTTGAATTCTGGTGCGATAGCAAGGGGTTCGCTGAGTAACGAAGGAAGTGCGGCAAGTGCAGAACGCAAGAAATGTTCCTTGTACGTGTGAACAGCTTCGTTGGGGGAGAAATGCGCGCCCCATAGTAGGACACAGTCCGTTAAGCAAGAAGCCGAGGAGGATAGGGAAGATGTGAGGACACAAGAGAGATTTACGATGTTGTGCGCGAGAATCGTGATACCTACTTGCTGCGAGTGAGCAAAAAATGTGTCCATGCTTTTAAATAAAGTGAGAAAATATCTAGAAAAGATGAAATAATTAGAATACTCACAGTTGTTCCATGATGGATGTTGGGATCTCGCTACTCTGATTGGGCGCTAGTAATTGCCAATATAAAATTCGGTCGTGAAGTATAGTGTATGCTTGAAACGTACTCGACGAGTTTGAGGGATCTGTGGGAAGCATTTCGACATTACCTTTCAAGACCTAGAAGACCAATAAATATCCAAGCGCCCATACATTGCATTGACTTTGGAGCGAATTGTCTCCGGCTTACCTCGGAATGACTCCCTGGAGAAGGCAAACCCAATTTCATCCGATGAGCGCTATCGTACGAATAGCCCATATTAAGTCGGCTTGTCGCATTGTTCTGTATCTGTGAGGCTTCTCGATGTATCGGACGGACCGTGAGTTCATTATGCGAGAACTCGCTCGATGATGGAGTTGAACGGCCTGATGACGGACTTAAACGCGACTGCATAGACGGGCTGCTAGCATCCATGGACTGAAAATATGGAGTATGCGCCAAGTTATCCATGGACGCAAAATTGGAGCCAAACCCTGGTGCTCCCAGACCATCACTATTTGATGGCAGGCTCTGGCGCCATTCGCGTCTCATAGTCGACGATCCTGACAGATTTTGATCATATGCAGCGTTGCCGTTGACCCCGGGCAGGGAATGCACGCGGCCTGGCGCAGAGTTGCTGCGCGTGACGTTGGCGTTAGTGCTGGAAGGGTCCGAGCTTGCGCGTGTACACGGAGACGAGCGACGTGCGCGCACTGGTCGTTTTGCTGCCTGCAGCTCACGAAAGCGCTTCTCGAGCATTGCGAGTCGCTCGTAAAGCATCTGAGTCGCAGATTTCGTAAGACCGTCGTCGTATTCGCATTCATCCCCGCGTTCAGCGCGGATGCATTGGGCACATGATGGTTTCGCGCCATCACATCGCTAGGGAAAATAGACATATCGAGGTCAGCGATGCTACTTTATGTCTTCAACGATAGGGTTCGAATAGTATGGCGATAATAAAGTATGTAAGTAGGGCTGTCGACCGCTTACCATTTTTCGGCGCCTGATCAAGGTCGGTGCTGGATCAGAGCCGTGCTTTCAACGTGTTAGAAATGGAACGCCGCGTACCGACAATGCAGACATGCTTTGCTTCTACTCTTCACTCTACGAGTAGGTTGTGCTTCCTCGAAATGTGGGAAGTCTGCCGCAAGCTCCATCATAATCTGATGAGCTCTGCGAGTTGTCAGCTCCCAGACGTATTTTCGACAGAAACAATACATACGCGAAAATAAACTTTAGTGTTTACCACGAATCCCAGCGGAAAGGGATCGCCGAAAACCGGTCGGGAAGCAAAAGAGAGAGGCAGCCAAGGGTACGAGACCGGCCTGAAGAGCGTGAGGTGGAGACATTGCAGGACCGGAGGGGCGAGGTTTATAAATGAGAGGAGGGCACTGGATATTTGTTAACTTGCGATTAGATTAGCTTCGCTGGGCGATCTCGGGTTTCAATGAATCAGGGTCCTGCCTCATTCGGCGGATCAGCCTGTGTAAGCAGCAGATGACAAAGCCCAACAAACTCAGGGCGTCTAACTCCCCAGTCCTGGTTCGCTGTCTATCGCTACGCTCAGTGAGTCATTCAGCCCCACTGATATTTGCTTCTTGTGTACGTTATACAAGTCTACAGGTCTGTCAGCAGAACTGCATAGGCTGGGGAACATGAAAGAAGATGTCCCCGGACCTTTTTTACTGGTGTAAAGGAAATGGGGCAGCGACCCCAGCTGCACAACCCGCTAATTGTCGCAAAAAGAAGAAGGGCCCTTTGCACTGACTTCCTCAGACATACAGCCGTTCTGCACAGTGAAGCAGTGGCACAAAATGCTGTAGTAGCTCAGGGTAAGAGGCCACGTGGCGAACTCTGAAGATCGCCTCGAATGTGCTGCCTAAATCGGAGCTGCGGCTGTACTACCGATACAACAATGTCCAAACCAGGATTGACTGAAATGCATCGTCCATTTGTTCTGTTACCCCTTGAAGCTCTGCCAGGAAAATACGTAACATGACATGATGCACTTGGCCAAAGGTTGCGTATGTATTATTCTTTCTGAGTTTGCATTTAATGGAATATACGAACCCGAGTATTTTGTAACTTCCGCTCTGTTCGTACCGGCGGTCCCTGAAAAATCTCTTTCTAACCAATTCTTGACTAGGCTCAACTGAACCTCACTATATTACCAGCGTGTCCCGTCGACACGCGGATAAGGATCACCCCCTTATTCACGGGCTCTTCAAGTTCGCACATTTCGGGGAAGCGACTTGTCCGAGGAGAGCGCTCAGGAGGCTTGCTTACCATGCTTCCCATGGTCCCCTGCCGATCATCTGAGCATCCCATCAATGATGGACATTTCTCATGACTCCGCAAAGGGTCGTGCAAAGTTCAAACTGATCACTTTGGCTTAGTGATCCAAGATTTCTTCTTCAGGTTAGAAGACCGTCATACCTTCCGTGCCTGCAGGCGGGTTTTCAAAGTAGACATGACGAAAAGCCGTTTTGTCCGTGATAAATACTAGCAACCTACCTGGCGTCCCTGACATGGATTTGCAGAAAGGTCATCATGACGATTTTTAGTCGAGCGAACATAAAGCGATTCACCACGCGACAATCGACTCATACACTATATTATTCTCGCTACATTCAACTCAACTGCTTATGGACCGATTTCCCAATCAGCGAGATCCATTTTGTAATATTCGCTAAATGAGTAAGTAAATTTCCTGTCTCCGCCTCTGAGTAACAATGATCCACTGTTGGATGTAGCGGGTTACCCAACGCGCGCCGCAGCAGCAGTTTAACATACGCAAGGCATTATGTCTTCGATGCAATAGTTTTAGTGTCGGAATGTCAGTTGAATCTGGCATTTTCTGGATTATCACCATTACGTATTACGTATCTAATTGGCAATCCCGGAGATTTCACTGCTGCTATCGACCGCAGCTGTAACTGGATTGCGGGTCAACGTGCCTAAATCGTTAATACATACTTCCTCTCGACTTCACATCCTTCTGTTTCGTTGTATGCCTACGTCTCCATACTAATGAGGCTGTTGTTTATCAGGCAGGGTTCTGAAATTCGTTATCTGCTACATGCTACCCGCATAAGTGAAGTCAAGAACGTTTTGTAGGGACTTATGCTCCTAAGAATGTGCTAGCGGCATGTCCGTTCCGACATACGCGCTGTTTTCTCATGATGGGCAACGCGTTCTACCTCATGTTATTGCTCCCTCTCTCCCCTCTTTCGGAATCAGTGGCCGCCCATACCACGAAGTAACTGAAACTGAACTCTATCCTCTTTCGCGATGAGAATTCCGAGTTGTGCCTCATTCGAGTTCGGCTATTATGTTGTGATACTCATGTATGGACCTTCTCTCGCTTGCTTGAATGTATCGTTGTTCTGGAAAGCAGACAGCATGAACTTCCTACTGGGGAGAGAACTCAACTTCATAATACACCAGGTCGAGCCGCCAACGGCCCTGAGCTCTTCTGCTTTGCGACACTGGTGCTCCCCAGATTTTGTTACTCCAAACCTGGAAAGTGATAGCTCCTGTTTATTTGCATTTGAATCTTTAACATGGCAATAGGCAATCCTTGGCAATGCTCCAAGATGAGGTCTCACAATCCACCTGCATTCATTAGGCACAATAACCTTACTACTACGAAGCATTGTGTTAAAAGTAGGATTGTATTTACAATTAGAAATATAGAAGTTGGACTGAATTTGCAAATTAACCTGAAAGAACTAGACAAATTACTCAACCATGACATCAGAGCGATTGACTCACAACCAAGAAATACATGTGACACAATCTCCTTTTCATATTGGCGAAGCACGGCTACTTTACTACATTCGCCCGCACAGTTAGTAAAATAAATCAAAAGCAACAGGGGTATAGAGGGAAATGTGCAAGGGGGTCACTCGTATTGCATCAAGTCTAAGAGAACCCAGCCCAGGAAGGGGTACAGCCAGCCGGGTGCGGAATCGAGTCCCGTCTTGTTACCCACCAACTCCCAGCCTAACCTGAGGGTACATCTCAAAGTCTCTAGCCTATAAGCACCTGCCTGTACACAAGACAATCCTCCTGTCCTAAAGAAAGGCCGAAACACAAAGAGTATGGAAACCCTTGAAGAGAAAAAAAAAAGGGTCCATGTCGGACGTTAAGAGACATCGGCCACGATCGAAGTCGATCGGGCGTCTGTCAAAGGGGTAGACTAGTACTGAAAGTCAGTACAGCCAGTGGGTGTGCTGCCTATGACTAGGCATTGCTGGGACTGTGTTGACCAACACATTGCGGGATGATGCCCCCCCTACTCCATACCGTGGGAAAAATCCACGACATGAAGGTCAAAGGAAAGGGCTCCTTACTTTGCACCACTCATGCATGTACACAAAATGTTGCGAAATTGCCTGCTTTACAGTAACGCATCACTAAAACGTGCAGAGTCTGACAAGGCAATATATTTACATGTAGACTTTATAAGTGAATATAAGGATCCACAATATGTAAAAAATATATGTCTTAGCAGTAAATTCCAATACATTTTCGTGTTCGATTTGGTGATGCCAGGCCATCTACTAGCTTGACTCTTTTGCTACAATGGTGGACGTACCAATGATGATCGGAACTAGCTGCACGACACCCGTGCCCGTCTCAGTATCGACTACTATTCGATGCACCCGCTGTCCGAATCATTCTACTGTACTTTGATGCTGCTCCCGGTCCAACCACACAACTATCTAGGGAGGAGATAACACGAACCACTATTCATGCAATCACAGTAGACTCGCCAAAACTAGCACTTTGCACCTTCCGCTTTGCATGGGATTACTAATGGACGTCTGCTCCGACTGTTTCATCTATTTCTGCAGACTACAAACCATGCTGGTATAGTTGAAAATATCTTATTGCATAACGTCGGGAGAGGCCTCAGACCTATGCAATATGAGCAATATGCATTATGGTAACCGTGAGAAAACATTACTTAATTAGGAACCCAAAATTCGATATTACTTTTCAATTTATTTGAAGACATATACACTATGACAAGAAAATAAGCACATATTTAGAGCATCAAGAAAGACAACCAAGACAATGACAAGTATAGTAAATGTGTATATTACTGTAAAACTCAAGAAATAGTTTGTAATACAAGGAAATACAGTCAGAATCTGTAGAAACAAAAAGATAGAAAAAGCTAATCAATACAAATAACTTTCCCCCACATATTATGAAGAGATCTTTGCTACCCTATCTTGGTCTTGTGGCAGCATTGAAGACATTGTAAGTAATGAAATGTTAATCAGAAACATTCTTTTTGTATTAAAGTATGTTAGAGAACAATATGTGAGGCTTCTGGGTACAAAAATCACAATAGTAAGCAGTCTAATTTCCCAAAATGCTCAGAATTTTGCATAATTTTCTCACAAATCTTGATGCAATATGCAATAGACTATTTTTGTGCATAATTCCCTTATCCCGAGCCGGGATTAGGCAGAAAGCTATGCAATATTCAATTTATGCATTATAATGTGATGCAATAAGGTATTTTCAACTGTAATACGGGTTACGACCTATTCAAGACCGCAACGCTTATCTTCGAAAATCATTTTCGCACAGTATGATTCTATCGCTGCGTTTCTCCCATTGGTGAATTTGGTGTGCAGCTCCCTCTCTTAGCCCATATCACTTTTACCGATTCGCATTGAGTGATTATCCTGACGCAAATTCATCGACTGAATTAGGATGATGAAACACTTTGCTCTTCCTTGTGCTAAAAGTTCCACAGATACGGCTTGCTTTGCATTCTTTCTGGATTCTGAGTGGTCAGTGTTTGAAAATACCAATATAGTCGGTGCCAAGACCGACTATTTTGCAGAGACATCCCTTTCGGGTTGCCTACATTAGGAAGTGTGTTGCTTGCGTCGGCGTAGTGAGACAAGCAGAGTACGACACAGCTGCCAGTGGCAATAAAGATGTAGATAAGGTACAAAGAGCGTTTACTTTGCTAACACGACATGCGCGGTATAAATTCTCGATGAGTAATAATATGCAGATATCTCTGCATTCGTACTTCAAACCTACACTCACAGCGACGCTCGTATCTAGCACCATGCGTTCAAATATTCTCTCCACTACTGCTCTTCTCGTCGCTGGTTTGTTTGCTGCTGTCCGTGCAGATTTGTCCGTGCGTATATACCAAAACCTAGCCTACTATCCAATGTAGACTCGGATTCTAACCACCGTGCCCTGCAGTGGAACGTGCTGTATACAAATGATTCCGACGGACGATACTATTTCCTCGATTCATCCAAGGACAGGATCATTGTCTCGTCAGCAGATAAGTGGGTGTCTATTTAATTGCTTACAAGTTTCTTACAATGAAGTACTTTAAATTTGACAGCGTTGAAGCCGTGAAGGCCAACCACGACAAGGGACAGCGCTTCAGATGGGGTGGAAATAACACCGGCGTTACCTGTCAAGATCATTCGAAACATTTCCTTGGGTTTGACTCGGGTGAACAAGCGTTCAAATCAGACTTCGATTCCAAGCACACAGATGGTCAAGTACAAATTACCCTCCAATCGAAGTCCCAGGCTTATCTATGCACCGGATCTAACTGCATTGGCGTCAATGCCGCATGTAAGGATCTAAATATTTGTTTGCTGAGACATTATCTCGTTACTAATGTGTATGAACAGCAACGGATAAGCATTATCTGTGGTATTACCAGGTGGTTCCGGCAGCTTGATAATATAGGCCACGAAATCCACTCCCATTTCCTCGTCACATGTATTCATTGAGATGGCACTGTTGATTCGGCTAGAATTGAGTGTTCTATGATCTTAAATCCCATGTGAATAACAAGAGTTTCTGTAATAGCTGTCAGACTGGTTCTGTAGATTTTTTTTCTGTTTATGTACCCTAGCTCAGACATTGTATTTCAAGTTGGTGGCTGTTTTAAAGGCAATTAGCTGGATACACTGATCCTCTCAGTCAGACTGTCAGAGTAGTGCTCCGTGTGTAGCGTATATGCTTACACACGTAAAATTTCCCACGTATACACATATGCACGTATAATTACAGGTGTAAACTGGGTCAGCAGGACCCATATACTATACACTACTTCTGTATACAGTATATACAGTGTATATGCTGTGTCAAATATAACAAGATACTTTACACTAAAATAGCTCATAAAAGTACACTATCATCTTTCAAAACAAATGCTTCATATTACTAAGCTAAGAAAATGTATTGTAGTACTGTTTACACACAGAAATAAGACAGTTGAGTGTTGTGAGTTAATATCATGTGACAGCTCTAAACCTTCATGTACACATGGGGCATTTCACAATTTCTTGCCTTAAGAAATAACTTACATAATAATAAACATTATTTGTAATTTAGTTTACCATTTTTGGTTGATAGAAATTGTAAACAACATTTAAAAATTTCTTTAGACAAAAACTATAAATTAATTTTAGCATATCTTTATTTGTGAAATCTTGAAATAAATGAGAATAATTATTTAAAACATAATTTGAAGTTTCTTTTAAAACAAAATTATAAATTTTCTTTCAAATTTTAAGACAAAAAATATTTAGAATTTCATTTATAATATTAAATCTTATAAAATATTAAAAGAAATTAAAAATTTTACCTAGAGAAGAAATGCCAAAATTTTTTTAAAATTATTTCAAAGTAGGCAGTTAGTAGACAGTCAGTAGGCAGTCAGTAGGTATTCAGTGGGCAATCAGTGGGCAAGCAATGGGCAAGTAATGGGCAAGTAATGGGCAAGTAATAGGCAAGTAATAGGCAATTAATGAGTGACTACCAAATAAAGCAAAAATGTCTTTATTTGGTAGTTGCCTGTTGATTACCTATTACTTGCCTATTACTTGCCCATTACTTGCCCATTACTTGCTCATTGCTTGCCTACTGATTGCCCACTGAATGCCTACTGACTGCCTACTGACTGCTTACTGACTGCCTACTGACTGCCTACTGACTGTCTACTGACTGTCTACTGACTGTCCACTTTGAAATAATTTAAAATTTTTTTGGCATTTCTTCTCTAGGTAAATTTTTTAATTTCTTTTAATATTTTATAAGATTTAATATTATAAATGAAATTCTAAATATTTTTGTCTTAAAATTTGAAAGAAAATTTATAATTTTGTTTTAAAAGAAATTTCAAATTATGTTTTAAATAATTATTCTCATTTATTTTAAGATTTCACAAATAAAGATATATTAAAATTAATTTATAGTTTTTGTCTAAAGAAATTTTTAAATGTTGTTTACAATTTCTATCAACCAAAAATGGTAAATTAAATTATGAATTATATTTAACATTATGTAAGTTATTTCCTAAGGCAAGAAATTGTGAAATGCCTGATGTGTATAATGTACTATAGTAACTATAGTAACTATAGTACTCATACTAGTACTTTTTAAGTTAAACAAGGTTGTTATATAGTATTAAAATGATTTGGTATATAAATAAGTAAAGTAAATAAGGTTTAGAAACTCAAACTTAGTATTTAATTAGAGAATATGCTTAGTAATACTGTATACTTGTATATAGTGTATACAGAAATTTTTTACTTATAGTATATGTATATGTGTGTAAATATATACTTGTATTTTTAGCTAAAATTTTCTCTTACAATATAGTGTGTAAGTATATACACTACAGGTGTATCTGTAAATTACACTACAGTGTAGAGTACTAAGTCAGAGTCAGTCTTCCCTTTGTTGAAGGATAGTGTAAAATATTATCTTAGTCTGTGTAAGAAACATTATACATAAAGCTAATGTCACACTAAGACACAGAACAGTCAACAGAATAGAATTAATAAGATAAGACAAGGAGAATACAAGACTTTAAATAGGAGAGTATTATGTAATCAAGTGGCTGGTGAAACTGTGAGGTTACACTTTCCCATATTCTGAAGAAAAAATACAGGGGAGAAGGAAAGAGTTTGAAAAAAGGAGAGCCCTTTATAAGGTTAGATAAGTATGTAAAAGAAAGTAAAAGGAAACAGGAGCAGGGAAGAATATTTTAAGAGGTATTAAGGGATTGAAGATGTTCTTTCTAAGAATCAAGAGCTGTACAGTCTTCAAGTTCTCTCCTAAGTATCTACAGGTTGTTGTCCAGCCTATAACTGTACTAACAAACCAAGTATTAAAACCTGTAACCTCTTTTGTATTAATCAAGAATTCTTTTAACTTTCTATTCTTTAAAACTATACTCTGTAAGAATAGACAGAGGCTAAGGAAGTTTACAATTAGGGTATAGTTGTATATTGTTAGAGTAATATTTTTTGAGTTGAGAAGTATAGAAGGTTATTACAAAAAAGTTGTAACACTTGTATTAGATTATAACCAGGTATATTTTATACTTTTTGTAAATTTTGTTAAAGTAATTATATTCTTTATAAGGGTTTTTACAAGTTAATTATAATTTAATACAAGTATAATGAGAATCTAGAACAATTATTAAAATTACTAATATTAATTATAATTGTACATATTGTTAAAATATATAAGTAATTATAACATATATTTTAACATTATTTTTTGACAGTATAGTATTGTCTTACAATATATACAAATCATTACAAGCATTTGGATAGCTTGCTTTTGTTTTGTATACAGTTTTGTATTGAATAATTAATAAAATGTAATTATATTTAATTATTTAATACTAAAAGATAGTGAATATTATATTATTTCTACAGTCCTAATCCCTACATTACTAGCAGCCTCTGCCTTATTCTTCTACAAGCAGAATTTGTGTTAGTAAAGGATTAACACATTCTTAGACTGTACAAAGTAGTTTTTGTTACTATACCTTAGTTGTTACTCAGTCTCTATAAGTTGAATTGTAAGGTTAAGCAGGTTTTAGAGGTTGAGACTGTACTTGTGAAACAGACTTAGAGTGATTTAGTGAGTGACAATAAGAAAGAAAAGATGGATGCACAGTAATAGTATGTAGTAAGTGTGAGTAGTGTATACAGGTTAAGATTTAGAGTGTTAAACAAGTTGATTCAGACTGTAGACAAAACTGTGTCTGTGTGTGTGTACTCTATAGTTTATCTACAGTGTCTGATAGGAGGTGTAGTAAACTGAGTCATTAATTGTAAGGTGTATCTCTAGAATGTTCTAGCTTGAAAGGTGAAGGTGAAGTAGAAGGCAGACAGACTTAGCTAAGAAGGGAGTGGAGGGTCACTACTTTTGTTAGAAATAGTGTTATATACAGTACTAGGGAAAGTAAACATATACAGTATAGACCTATTAAGAGTAATACTAAGTATAGGACAGGTAGGGAAGAATGTGTGTATTAGATTAGAGAGAGGATTGTACCTTAGGAGTAGTTGTATATAAACATTGTTGTGAGTGTGTACTTGTCAAGTATTACTTACACTATAGAGTAGAGAGAAGTATGTGAATTATTAGTAAAGTTGTTTAGTATTGGTCAAAAATACAGATGTGTAAATGTAAATGTAAAAAGAAGACAAATGTAATAAAAAGAAGGACAATAAAGGAGAGACAATATAAGAGGTAGAAAGGGAGACAAGAAGTTGAGAGGAGAAGGATGAGTAACTATTGTGTAAACTATTATAAAGTAGACTAGCTACTTACACTTTACACTAAAGGACTGTGTAGCTAGCTAGGTTGTGTTGTTACAGGATCTAAGGTTTAGTATAGACAACACAGTAGTAGATTAGAGAGACAAATATAGTAATGTTTATTGTCTAGGTAGTTATAGTTAGTGTGTCTACTAGAGAATACTTATAGATAGAGGACTTAATTAGAGAGAACAGAAGTAACAATATAGGGTTGAGGGAGGCAAGTTAGAGAGATAGTAGAGGTAGGAGGAAAAGGAGTAATGAGAGTAAGTGTATTAGTAACAGTGTAGAGAGGACCTGAAGGCTTAGTAAGGGGACCTAGGCTATAACTATCTTATATAATAGAAATATAGAACACAAGTACTAGAATGTAGTCAGAACTTGTAGAACAGACATAGAGAGAGAGTGAGACAAGAGTAGAGTATATAGAGTGAGTCTAAGAGTATAGAACTACTTAGAGTAGACAAGATTAAGACTATAGGACCAGTCTGATCTTATATACCTATATATACTAAACTATACAAGAGTACTTAGAGAGTATAAGCTACTAAGAATGATAAGCTATAAAGAATAAAAGAAAGGAAGGTCAAAGATAAAGGTATAAAGAATGAAGGGATAGACAAAGGGTAAGAGACTATAGAATGAACAAGGAATGAAAGGGTGGTCAAAGTGTAAGGAAACTCACTGTTCCTCACAAGAGAATTCTAATCACCCTTAGTTCACTCAACTACTGACTGGGATAACCTAGTACTCAAGCAAGGGGTCAGGGGAAAAGAATCCCCTTTACTTAGCAGTCAATACTGTCTTTTATAAGGGTATACACATGTAGATACATGAGAAGGAAGTGTAACTAACTATAATGAGAATATATGTGCTTGTGGGTCCTACTATGTAATGATCTGACACAATCAGCAATGTAGTAATAATAAAATACAAACTAGTAAATCAAATCCTTACACTTGCCCTCTAGTATTTAGTCCTAAATGCTAAAAATCAGTAGAAAAGGTGGAAAACTTACTTAAAAGTAATAGTTAGTAACAAGTAAATAATAAAATACCTTACTCATACATATGGGAAACATCCTTATAATGTATTACTACCTCTCTGAACTAAT